TGTGTCCCTCCGTGTGTCCCTCCGTGTGTCCCTCCGTGTGTCCCTCCGTGTGTCCCTCCGTGTGTCCCTCCGTGTGTCTGTGTCTGTCTGTATCTGTGTGTGTCTGTCTGTGTGTCAGGGCACTGACACTGGACACATCTCTGCCTGTTGGTTGAGCCGTTGGTCCCTTCAGTCTTTATTACAAGTATCTGCATTTACAGCATTTTCTTCTCCGTCTCTTTTAGCTGCAAAGACATTAAGAGGCTGCTGGTGAGCTTCATGTACCTGCAGAGCCTTCTGCAGCCCAAGAGCAGGTGAGGTTCTGGCAGATCCCATCTCCTGTCTGTAATTCAGGGATGGAAGGGAGCGTTCCCTGCAGGAATGCAGCGTGCTGAGGTTTCTGCCCACGTGTCCAAGCCCTGTTGAGCCCCATAACCATGCAGGAGAGGGGAAGAAGATGGCCCTCCAAAGGAGTTCTTCCCTTCTTAAGCCAGCAGACGCTTTTCTCCTGGCAAGTTTTTCTCCTGGCTGAGTTGGGGCCTGCAGTGTGGCCCAGGGTTCCACCATCTGCGCACACGGCGCCACAGGTTGTCTTTGGAAACCTCTCCCAGATGGCAGCGAGCAGCAGGACCCGATTGTGTCAGAGCAAAGGGAAAACTGCCCAGCGGTGATTTCAGTAAAACAGAAAGTGCTTTGGGGATCTGAGAGTTCTGGGAGCTGGAGAAATGCGAGGAGTGGATTTCCTGGGTCAGTTGGCTCTGAGATGTGTGTGGCAGGACCGCGCTCCCGTGCCGGTGTGCAGCCGGGGCAGCGGCAGTGAGCCCTCAGCACCACCACCCCCAGATCTCCCTGTGACCCCTGTGTGTGTGTGTGTGAAGGTGTTCTGGTTATTGTTTCTCTTTAGCTGAGCAGCTTTGGAGAGGAGAAGATCACAATTCCTCCCTCTTCCAGTACCTGCTGCTGCCTGCAGCGTCTGCTCCATCGCTCTGTGCTGCGCAGTGTGAAGCAGAGCCCACGTGCGGCCGCGGCCGGCTCTGGGTGCTGCCACGCAGGCATTGCTGGCAGTTTGGCTCTCAGACAGTAATGTCAGCTCCTTTTTTCTCCCTGCGAAGCTCTTTGGATTCTGAGCTGACATCTCTGTGCCAGTCCGTGCTGGAGGATTTCAACCTGTGCTTGTTCTACCTGCCTTCCCCTCCCAACCTGAGCTCAGTGAGCGAGGACGAGGAGGAATACGAGAGCGGCTACTCCTTCCTTCCCGACCTGCTCATCTTCCGCATGGTGATCATCTGCTTCATGAGCGTGCACAGCCTCAGGCGTGCAGGTGAGCGGCGCTTTGTGGGGACTCCCAAAAACCTGTGTGGGGCCGTGCAGCGCTGCGGGGCGGGAGCCGCCTCAGCTGGGTTCTGGGCAAGCCGCTGCTGCCCTCGGCCTCACCGAGCTGTCCTTGCAGGCTCCAAGCAGTACAGCGCCGCCATCGCTTTCACTCTGGCCCTCTTCTCTCACCTCATCAACCACGTCAACATTCGCCTGCAGGCGGAGCTGGAGGAAGGGGAGAACCCGGTGCCGGCGTTCCGCAGCGATGGCGCAGGTCGGTGTGGTCGTGCTCCTCCCCACCTTCCTGCCCCCGGGGGTGCCTTCGGTTTCTGGCGGAGCTCATTATGCGCAGAACAAAACCGTGGAGGTTTTCCCCCTGCAAAGAGTCAGCTTGTAACCCTTCCCAAAATGCAAGGCTGGGCTTCTTTCAGCCAACAGCAGCAGCAACAGCGATTGATTCCTCTTTGCGTGGCTGCCGGCGCGGCAGCTGGCTGAAAGCAGCTGGCCCAACTTGTGCTCCTGCCCTGCAGGGTGGATGATTTGGCTCTCAGGGAAAGCAGGGGAGGAGGTGGGAGATGGCGGTGTGTTTTTGTCAGCCTTTGTCTGAAGGCAGCAGCGCAGTCCGGGCTGCAGGAGCCCGAAGGAATCTGGGCTGCCTGAGATCTCTGAGCTCCTTCAGAGGGCGATTCCTTCCCAGGGCTCTGTGCTGATGGAAGCGGTGGTGAAACCTGCTGCTCGGGAGTGGGAAGGAGCTTGTGTGGAGCGGCTGCTCTTTCCTGACCGTGGTTCTCACTTTCCAAACCCGCAGATGAGCTGGAGCCGCAGGAGCCCCTCAGCGCCACGGAGAAGGAAGGTGAGGCGGAGCTGCCCAATCACCACCCCAGAGAGGAGGAACGGAAACACGACTGCAAGAAAAGCAAGAAATACTCACGGCTTTCCTGCCTGCGCCGCCGCCGGCACCCGCAGAAGGCGGATGAGAGCGACCTGAGCGAGGGCTTCGACTCCGACTCCAGCCAGGGCTCCACGAAGGGCAGCGACGGCTCCGACAGCGGCTCGGAGAAGAGCGACGAGGAAGCAGAGGCCGCTTTTGACGTGGAGACGGACTCTGACATGAACAGCCAGGAGTCGCGGTCCGACCTGGAGGACATGGAGGACGAGCCGGGCAAGGAGGGCAGCGAGCGAGGCCAGAGCGGGGCCAGGGAGGGCCTAAAAAACGGCGTGGATGGCAGCGGGTCGGGGGACTGCAAGAACACGAGCGGCTCTAAAATGGAGAGTGCGGATCCAGCCGTAAACGGGCCCGTGTCCCTGAGCGCCAGCGACGCCAGCATCGCCAGCAACCTGCAGGCCATGTCCACGCAGCTCTTCCAGACCAAGCGCTGCTTCCGCTTGGCCCCCACCTTCAGCAACATCCTCCTGAAGCCCAGCACCGAGCCGCCCGCCTTGAAGGGCAGCTTGGCTGGCAAGCCCTGCGTCAACGGCGATGTGGAGAAGCCCAGCTCAGCAGAGCAGGGTAAGGAGCCACACGTGCTGCACCACTGCGCTGCGAGCCCTGAGCTTCCAGCGCTCTGCTCACCAAGAGCTGCTGCTCTCCATCGTGAAAAGGTGCAGCGTGAATCTCACGGGCAGAGAGCGATGCGGGGAGCGGATTGCAGGTGAAGGAGGGATGGTTTGGCTGGGATTTCAGGGGAAGCTCTGCAGAGAGGTGGGATGGGGCCCTGGGCAAGCTGGGCTGGCAGCAGATCTGGAGCTCAGTGATCATCAGGCTCCCTTCTGACCCGGCCATCCTGCGGTCCCTGAAAGCTCTCGGGTTTGGAGGTGGGCACCCCTGCAGCAGCAGGCCTTGGGTCGGGGCTTTTCTGGAGGAGCTCCCCCTGCAGCCCTGTGCCCCCAGCAGAGCAGAGCAGAAGGCTGCGGGCAGCCGGTGCTGTAATTCCAGCTGTGTGCTGAACGCCTCTGATAGCTCCAAAGGGAGTCCCAAAGCTGCTGGAAGTGCTCCTCCTCCCCGCAGGCAGTCTCTGCCATCGCACGCAGAAGCAGTGCAGGTGCAATCCAGGATGTTCTCCATCACCTCTGTGAGCGGGGAGCGAGGGCCGTGCGTGCAGAGTGCAGTAGGTGAAGCTGAGTTCTGTCCTGCCATGAGGAGCGCTGGGGGGAACCAGGAGCAAAGGAGAGCTGATGGGCAGCACCGTGTGTCTCACTGAAAGCACACCACGTCTGTTGTTCCTCCCTGTGCACCCAGAGGCCAAACTGCAGCCCAGGGTTTGGAGGGGCAGCGCTGACGTCCGTGGTTCTGCCTCACGGCTGCTTGGTGGGATGGGGGAAGGAAGGAAGCTGGTTGTGCTGTGTGCAGCGCTTCCCTTTCTGCGTCCCAGTGGGATGTGCAGATGTTGCAGAGCTGGAAATGTTGCTGGAATAGCGTGGCTGTTTGATGGGTGAAGAACTGAGTGCAGAAAGCGGGGCTCAGTGGTTCCATGTGTGGATGGAGCTGGGTGCTGAGAGGTGTCCCAGGGGTCGGTGCTGGGGTGAAACTCTTCCGTATCTCCATCGGTGACATTGACAGTGGGGCCGAACCCTCAGCACTTTGCAGATGGCACTGAGCTGAAGGGGTGCAGTGACACAGCAGAGGGATCTGGGCTGCGGGCCCAGGGGAAGCTCACGGGGTTCAGCAGATCCAAGTGTGGGGTCTGAACCCGGAGTTGGGGCGGCTCCGTCAGCGCTGTGAGCTGCGGTTTCCCCGTGCGCTGCGGGGAACGGGGCCCTCAGGTCCTTTCCAACCCTAAGAGGTCTGTGATGGTTCTGGGATGCCTCAAACCCAGCACTGCTCTCCTGCTGCGCAGCCTCGCTCCTCCAAAGGCTTTAATGTTCTTCCCCTCCTTTCCCAGACGTGTCTGACTCTGAGGAGAGCGTGTTGAGCGCCAAGTCGTGCAGGAACGAGCGGTCCCTGCAGGAGAAGCTGGAGATTGTGAGCAACGAGGGGCTGCTGCTCACCGTCAAGGTGTTCCTGGACTGGCTGAGGACAAACACGGACTTCATCATCATGTGTGCTCAGGTGGGGGAGGCTCTGGGCTTTGAGCCTCAATCAAGGTGGTGAAATTCGTGCTGTTTTAAGGCGTTCTGGGGTCTGTGGGAGAGCCCGAGTGAGCGTGCAGCTCTCCTCATGGTTTTTTTTTGTGGCTTTTTGTTCCTGCAGAGCTCCCAGAGCCTATGGAACAGGCTGTCCGTGCTCCTCAACCTGCTGCCTTCTGCTGCCGACCTGCAGGAGTCAGGTATGGAGAAGGGCAGCACAGCACAGTGCTCCCTTCTGCCTGCAGCCCTTTGCTTACCAGGGAGGGACTTCGTTGTTGTGCTGTTTTCTGCTCAAACCCCTCTGGGGTCACTTGCCATCCCTTAGGCATCAGCAGGTAGGGACCTCTTCCACGTGTTACACAATCACAGAACGGCCAGGCTTGGAAGGGACTCCAGGATCACGGAGCTCCAACCCCCCG